TGATGGATTATCAACCAAGGACATTGGCTGAACTGTATCAATTATAAAATCAACAATAACTTTATCAGCCAATTTCTGAGAAATATTGGCATTTGGATTATTAATTAATTTGGTTTGAATTGAATTAGTCTTGGATATAGAGTCGCCTATACCAAAATTATTTAAATATTTCTCCATTTCCTTAAAGCTATTGGTATGAACAGTCTTATAAAATAAATACTATTAGAATGTAAAAATGACAATTTACCTTTTGGTGTTTCTTGAGGTTATAACTGGATTGATTTGAGGAAATATTTTTTTTTACATTTTAAACAAATATATTTGAAGCCAGTTTTGGTTTTTATATTTATTTAAAAAAAATTTTAAATCTAGGGAATGGGAAATTTGTATTATAGCTATTAAGAACATTTTCTTCCCTGGTATCTTCCATTTCATTAATTACATTGTCTGAATCACTTTCAACGATTTGGATATCCATAGGCGATGACATTTTAAATTATTAGCACGTGATTTAGGTTTATAATACAAATGAAAATATAAATTACAAATTGAAAATATATTACAATTTCAAAATTAAATAATAAATCATAAAAATTATAATTAATGATGATATTATATTTAAATTTTCATGTTTATATTTACCTTTATTATATTTTTTAAAAGTAGCTAAGTAGTGCACTGAAAAATTAAATAATTACAAAAAAGTAGCCGCTATTAGCTATTGCTACCAAAAAAGATAGCGCTTAAAGTAGCTCGCTATTTTAACAACTCTGATTCGTAGCCAAGCTGGTATATGGTTGAGGCTGGAATTATTTGATCCAGCAAAAGAGTCGTATTGTTGTCATTCTGTATACTCGGGGTTGGGTTTAAGGGGAGGAAGAGCAATGGAGATTTTTAATAGCTTTGAAGGTAAATATTAAACGCAATGCTATATCAATGGTAAATTCCAGTCTCTTTTTCTTAAATTTGGATATGAGCGGCTTGGAATCGTTGCTCCGGAAGTTTAATGCTGCCATATGATGTGGATTCGATAGTATCCAGATCTCCAAGTTTATATGGAAATTTAGCAACTAAGGATAAAAAGGCTGAAAGGCTTAGCGATATGGGGGAATGGATACCTATACAACCTAGCTTTGGTGGTAGGGCAGCTTGCATACTGAAGAGTGAAGAGAATTTGATATTTAAAATAGATTCAAGAGTATTTTTATAATGAATCAAGGTCTAATAATATTTCAAGGGACATAAAAATTGTTAATGAATGAAAGGCATGTAAAATTTTAGGAATGAATAAAAAGTATTTAAATAAATAAAAAGCCTGATGAGCAGGTAAATGTTTTAAAATATTTTTCATTCTATTGAATTTGACAAGAAATTCATCTCTGAAATGAAATATAGCACTTTCACTTCCAATGGGTGATCCTAGTAGGTAAAGCTAGTTTTGTCCATTACAATAAAATTCAGGTGGATCTATTCAAGAGTGTAATAAAAAAATTTAAAAATAATTTTTTTTAAAAAATTTATTAATTTAAAATTTTGTTTAAATGTCTGATTGTGTTCACAAAGGATATGCAACAATAATATAATTTCTATCCAAATAGATTTTCTTTTCTTAAATTGTTACATTGCTGGGTTTCATAATTTATTACTGTTGAATTTTGACCGACGAGTCCCACCGTCATAGTGGGGAAAACACAGTCCGTGATTGGGGGTCTGGGATAGTCGATAAGGGGATCCAGGGGGCTGGGTTTGGGTATCGATTTTGTCATAGAATCACGCGGACAACATTGTAATAAAGGTAACTCAAGTTACAAAAAAAGTAATTAATAAAATCATTAATAAAAAAAATCACAATCCCGAATTTCATTTTTGGTGGTCTTTATATAGATAAATTAAATAATAAAAAAAAGAATGTTAATAAATCCAGGCCCACCTCGAAAACTGGCTTTTGAGGATGAAATCAAAACAAGCTTGGCGTGAACAAAGAAAAAAAAAGATATACATGATAATGAGAAAAACACATCACTTCTAATTGAACAAAGAAAACAAAAATATAAATGGTAATTTAAAAACATGACATAATAACTATTATAAACTAGTTAAAACACAACACTCCTCCCCGCTTAACTTCTACTACCGCCGCACCCTTCGGATTAGGGCAGATGGCAGGCCTAAATAAAAATTTATTTTACAACCCAGAAAAAAAAATATAACGGCATACGCCGTACCGCTGGATTAGAGCTGGGTTCAGTCCTAAGTTCGTTATCTTAGGTACATAAAAACATCTAACAAAATAAACGGCATAGCCGCACCGCTTTGTCAGGGTAGAATTTAATCCTAAGTTCATTACCTTAGGCACATAAAAATGTCTAACAAAATAAACGGCATAGCCGCACTGCTGTGTCAGGGCGGATTTTAATCCTAAGTTAATTTAAATTAGCATATAATTAATAACCAAAAATAATAATAATAACGGCATATGCCGTACCGCGGGGTCAGGGCGGATTTTAATCCTACTAAGATAAATAAACTCGGGGGGGGGGGGTAGGTATAAAAAGGTAATGTATTTTTACATATCTAATTTTTTTTAAAAAAAGGTTTAGTGCGCGAAAAAAATGGTGTTTCGTGAGATTTCTATGCTCCTCCCCGCTTAAAATCTGCTACCCCCAGGAGGGGTTTCTGACGGGTTTGTGGATTCCTCCTCGTAATTTGTTGTGCTTGCTGGATCGAAGTCGCTACGGTTTGCCCTTTGGGTCGGGGTATTTGAGAGTTCTTTCCCAACCTCAGTAATGGATTTGCGGAATCCTATTGCAGAAAAAATGGGATTTGGGGGTTGATCATTTTGACAGTCATTGACTGCTTGGGGTAGGTTGGTGATAGTGGTCACGATTTGGTGTTGCAGTTGGTTATATGGTGTTTTGGGCTCTATAGCATATGATTCTTTGGGGAATATGGTGACGTAATCTTCTCTGGTTAGATCGGTGTCAGGGCATTTATGATCCCGTCGGGGTCGGATATCACTACGATGGTATCGTTGAGTTTTGTTCGTGGTTTCCATGTAATAAACGACGGATTCGTAGGGTATCGAAAGCATGTTGGGCGCCAGTGTTGAATTTTGACCGACGGGTCCCACCGTCTGAGTGGGGAAAACACAGTCCGGGATGGTCGATAAGGGAATTCAGGGGGCCGGGTTTGGGTATCAATTTTGTCATGGAATCACGCGGACAACATAGTGTAATAAAGGTAACTCGAATTTTATTTTAAAAGTTACAAAAAAAGTATTAATAAAATCATTCATAAAAAAAATCACAATCCCGAATTTCATTTTTGGTGGTCTTTATATAGATAAATTAAATAATAAAAAAAAAAGAATGTTAATAAAGGCCCATCTCGAAAACTGGCTAGAACCAGTTTTGAGGATGAAATCAAAACAAGCTTGGTATACATGAACAAAGAAAAAAAAGATATACATGATAATGAGAAAAACACATCACTTCTAATTGAACAAAGAAAACAAAAATATAAATGGTAATATAAAAACATATCACTAGAACAAAGACATAATAACTATTATAAACTAGTTAAAACACAACAATAACCAAATTCAATTAACAAACCTATTTTTTAATATTATATTTCTTTACCTATTTAGCACAATTCCATATTTTCTACCCTCAAATTGCGCGTAATATATATGGAATTTCATATAAATGAATTTTTTTTTAAATTTTATTAAATTAGATCATAGAACTTAGTATAAGGAACGACAAAGACTTAGATTATTTTAGAATTAAATAATTTATGAATAAACTACTAAATTAGTAATCATTACTTATTTAAGAAAAATCTTCATGCCTGGCCCGGATTTTTTAAAAATATATTATATTTATTTTTGATTTTTATAGCTAATAATGGTGATTTCAAATATTTGGTTTTAATATACCGCCTGGCCTATTTTTTTAAATTTCAGGCCTGGCCTGAGTATATTTAAAAAAATTACGTCCCGGCCTGTGTACCTGGGCCAGGCTTAGGGGCGGGCTTACAGGTTTCTAATAAATATATTCTATTTTCCGATATTTTTTTCAGTTTAATTTTTTATTTAAATGAATTGTATATTTTTTCAAATAATTGATTATAATTATAATATCCTAATTTTTTAAATTAAATAAATGCGTTCAGTAAATAATAATGCTTTTATGAATGATGTATAAATTAACTTATTATGTAACTAGTTACTTTTGAATGTAACTAATAACTAGTTATATTTCAAAGTAACTTTTAACAACACTAGTTTTTTGCCACCAGGCTACTTGGGCCCGATAAAAATTTATTTTGCAGGATCCCTAATTGTGATTTTAAAAGAAAATAAAAACATTTTTATAATAATTATGCTTAGATTACATTTAAAATATTTGAATTTTTTAGCCATTCTTTCTATTAACATCAGAGACCTGCAGAGATACCAATTGCACGCCACGGCCTGGCCAGGATTTTTTAAAAAAAGTTATCGGCCCGGATTCTATATTTTCAGTTCCCGGTTTAAAAAAATAATTTCAGTCTCGGCCCGGATTTTTTTAAATATATATTTATTTTTAATTTTTATAGCTAATAAGGCGATTTAAAATATACGGCTTGGCCTGGGTATTTTTATAAAATAATTTTTCAAACCTGCCTGGTCCGGGCATATATATAAAATTAAAATAAGGCCCGTTACGGGACCTGAGCCGGGCTTAGCGCCGAGCCTGCTGGTCTCTGATAAACATTATTTAAGATAGATCTCGAAATGACCATTTTTATGCAATTACCAAATATTATATATATTAAGTATTAATTATTAAGGAACAAGTAAATTTAGTAGCAGGGTTTATATTATATTGGTTAGAATTATAAACTGGCCTTCAGACATGCTCAATACAAAGCAATGAAATTTATCTGTTATATTACCCACATAATTATATATATTTAAATATTTGGCCATTCATTTTTTCCCACATAATTAATAGACGCAAACGAAAATCGGACAATAACTCCTCACAATCGGGTCCAAGTCCCGGGAAAAAGAGGGGTTCGTTCGTTTCCTCTTCCACCAACGCAACATCTACACCCACTTTGCCTCTCTCCTCTTCACCCCATCTTCCCCCCCTAAATCAATCCCCTTACAATAATAACCATCAAAGCATAAACATGAATGGGCCAATGCATCATTTTCCTTCTCCAAACAACCAACACCCTTCCTACCCCCCTTTGCATCAGGCCCAAATGCAACACCAGCACCAGTTTATGCAAAGTGGGGGACTATCTGAACCCCACCCTTCAAATTACCTGAACGCGCCGCCCCCGCCTTCTTTTGCTATGGCTTCACAAGTATCATTTTTTCTTTTTTAATCAGTTTCTTTAAATGAAATTTAATTAAAAGTTTTGGTTTGAAACACTATAAGCTATATTGATAATGGATTGTAAAAAAGTAAAACTCCAAATCTTACTACTTATCCAAATTAATTGCGTTTTCTTATTATAAGGTATGAATCATTTTACATTACATCTGACCGAAAGTTATTTACAATGGTTGCATTATACCGTCTTTTTTATGATTTCATAGGTTTTAAAAACTAAAAATTTATTTACTCCACTAAAAACAAAACCTAAAAGGACGTGATGATAGTGGGTGAACCAACTTTGATGGGCGGTGAGTTTGGGGACGAGGACGAGAGGCTCATAGCGCGTCTAGAAAACGTTCAGTACCAGGACTCCTCGTCCTCTTCCAGTATGATGTTGATACAATCATCCCCTCTCAGCGATACTATCAATAACCTCGTAGATCCACTTAATACTACACACAACAGACGGCTAGACCGCCCCTCTCACCCTTCTCTCTTCCCCTCTTCCTTACCCCCTAACCACACACATCATCATCTTGGCAGTACCCCATCCTCCCTTAAAGAGGGAGGCAGCCCTTCCTTTGACCCGCCTCATTACCATCCTATCAATCAACCGCCACCACCTTTCAACAACTACCAATCTTTCAACACACAACAATTCCACCATCCTCCTCAATTTTCTCGATTCCCTTCGAATCCGCCTAGCTGTTTCCCAGTCCCCCACCACTCGCTCACCCGATCTCCCCCGCCCCACATGAAATCGGCTCCTTCGTCTGTCAAACCAGAATTATCTAGAGAGGGAGAATTAGCAGATGAAAATGAAACCAAACCTGAATTATTTCCCAGTTTCGATGAAAACGGCTTCAATAATTTCGACAAGGAATTTAACCCCGGAGGGGGAACTAGAAGACCACCCTCTCTCCCACTCGCATTTGTTGCTAGCAATAATTCAGCACCCAACAATAATAGCCTCCCTTTCGGACTCACAGCTTCGCCATCTAATAGCTTGAAATAAAATATTATCTGAAATAGTTTCGGCATTTTTGGACATAATTAAAACAAAGAAAAAACAATGCAAATGGTTTAAGGGTGGTGGTTTATTGTATCTATCGTATCGAGTCTAAAATAAGTTATAACTATTAATCTGATTACACATATTTTTGCCATTGATAATAAAAAAATATTAACACAATAATATACTATGGTTATATATCTCGTAGAAAAATTACATCCTCATTATGCCACCTATAAAAATATTTTCAAAATGTTTAAATATTATCATACAATTATAATTGTTATTTATTATTTTTTGATAAATTTATAATTGTTTTGTTATTTATTATTTTTCAATAAATTTATAATGTTAGACCTCATTCGTTTTTATTGTTTATATGTAGAGTTTTGATTATTATTTTTTTAAACTGTATAATTCTTATTTTTAGATGGCTGCATATATTTTTACTATCAAAATAAACTGATTATGATCTTATTTACCTTTCCCTATATATGTTTTTAAGGTATTTTTTTAATATATTAGTGGGTTAAGTTGTGAATGCTTTATATTTCAGTTATAATTTAATTTATCCTATTGAAGAATCCCGTATTTACGTTCCAGAAATCAAAATAGTCGCCATTTCACCTCTAATTATGGCTGTACCGATATTGAAGTGACGAAATTATAAATATGTATATCTTAGAATTGGCACGAGATTGACAGCAAATTTTGTATGCATAAATATCTTGTAATATTGATGTAATATTACAACTTGTTAAAAAACAAGATTATATTAAGGAATAGTTTAGAATCGGACAATTAAAATTAAATTCAAAAATGGACTGGTTTTGCCGATTCCAAATCATAGGCTAATTTTATTTGCTTCTACCAACCTCTTCTTAAAATATTTTTGTTTAACAAGTTATGATGTTATATCGATATCACGATGTTTATGCATAAAAATTTAGCTTGCTAATTTTGATATATAAACATTTATAACTAAGGCATTTATATATTGGTGAAACCCTACCTCCTAATAGTTAAACCCTCTTTATCAGTATGACGGTTTTAACTTTTAGGCAAAGTTGAATAAATGTTTCAAGCATTTCTTTTGGAAAATTTTTCACAAATACTTGACCTTATTTATTAAATCGCATTTGTTTTAAGGTCTTATGTTTATCTTATTTTTTAAAAATATGAAATCCCAGACATTTTCTATTGAATTTAAATGGCTCCTATTTAATCTCGCAAAATTAAAACTGAAATGCTCAGAAAAAATAATGAATACTAAGAATTAATTTTTAATGCTCAAACAAAAAACTTAATTGCCAAGAAAAAATGGTAATTTCTCAGATATTTATAAATAAATCACAAAATTAAAAAATGAATTTCTCGCTAGAACTAAACAATTAATTGCGAAGAGAGATTTTTTCCTAGAGCTATTGATTTTAAGAATTTGTATATGATTATAAATTTACAAAAAACATATTTGCCAGATCCTCTAAAATAAAAATTAATGGTTACAACAGCATCTACATGACAAGATTTTCACTGGATGCAAACCCCCTTAAAAACCTTTGCCTACCCCCTTTATTATTATTTTCACCTTTATAATTATATTGATACTCTTTTTAGAGAATTTATAAGGATAAATCTATCTCAACTACCAACTATCGATATTTTGTGAATATAAAGAATTTCTTTTTTAGATATTAAATTCAATTAAAACCTCCATTATTTACAATGAATTAATTATTATGGCATTATGAGCTTGCTGATATATCTAAACCTTTTAAATTACATTTAATAAAAGGATAGCGGAAAGTTTTATTTGGAAAAATGGTGTATGATAGTTTGCAATATATAGATTTGGTCGATAATTGTATTATAATAATTCTATAATAAAAGTATTAATTTTTACAGCAATAAATGGTGTCCTATTTCATCTCAAAATTTAATAGATAACCCCCCAAAAAATTTGTCCTACCCCCATTAAAGAAGCCTACCCCCTCAAAAAATAGGATGCAAACTGTTTCTACCCCTCTCGCTCATGTAGACGCTGGTTACAGGCCTTATTTTAAAATTGAATATTTTTATTTTAAAAATATAAGAATGGTTAGATAAATTAAACAATCCAGATAATATAACTTCTACGAAAAATTTCTTTGAAATATATGAATCTTTTACTATTCGATTCAGTTTTAAATTTTATCAGAAAATATCTACATAAAGATTTTTTTAAAATAATACTTAACTTAAATCTATTAAAATTTCCCCTTTTTCGCAAATTATATTCTTGATATTTATATAAAAGACACAATTTCAATTGGCTTTTTCATATTTTTTCAAATTTAATAGCTTTAATTTTAGACTCCATGTCAAGATATTATATTTGAAACCACCCCTTTTTAGATCTGTTTTGAAGACCTAAAAAAAATGATTTATTTATGACAATTTGGTTAAATTTTATATTTGATACTCAAGTTTAAATTGATTGTCATACCACCACCCGCCTAACTTTTAAAGACGATTAACTAGTGTTAAAAAACCCGATTTGGGTTTATTTTTAAAAACGGCCCGATTAAGATTTTTCTTGAGGCTTACATAATATAATTTTGGGTATAACCGTAATTGGGCATTTTAAAAAATCGGGCTTTTTAACAACACTAACAGCAAGCAAAAGATATTTTTATTTTAGTTAAGATCCACAAGATATTAATGATTTATAGTGATGAGTGATTAATAAAACAGTCGAAAAATCATTTTATTTTCAAAACCATGTATAGGATATTAGGTTTAAATTTTTAGCCTCCCTCCGTTGTACGAAAACATCGAGGTGGAAAACAAAATAAACTTTTAAATAGCTTTTATTTGATGCTCATTTCGAAATACTAATGTCTGTGTAATTGAATGTAAATGGAAAGATGATATAAGGTTAGTGTAATTAATGATATTCGTAAGATATAAATGGAGTAGTTGATGAAGAAGAGATGAGAAGGTGTGAATATAGATATATATAGTATGAGGGAAAAAAATAGATGGATAAGTGAATTTATCTGTGGTGATGACCCTAAAAAGTCTTTTTGTGCAAAAATATTTGTACATATATATTGTATTAAATTTTTAGCTTTAGAAGGATGCAGGGGCATCACTAACTTATTACAGAAGGGGCTAATTTTTGAAAAAAAGTTTACATAACTAAGCTCATTTAAAAATTTTTCATAATACATGTAATAATAGGCTTATCAGATAATCATTAAAAACTACAAAATAGTAGTTCTTCGTCATTTAATTTGTGTCAGTAGTACGATCTAACAACAATGCAATGTCATTTTTGATTAAAATCAGGGATAGGTTAACGATGCGGTATTGCGCCGTGTAGGATCTTAAATAAGTCTTAATTAGTTTGAACTTTGAAGCTGCGTTCAGCCGATGTGACGGTAAATGAAATAGTAAGATATTGTAAGTATAGCCCAAAATATCTATAGGACTTTTTATGGTTCTGCTTATACAATATATTTATTAATTTTTTTAAATATATTAATACCGCTTTCCAACGAATCTTGATCTGCTGTTAATAAAATACTTAATCAATTACGATATTCTTTTAGCTACGTTTTAGTCGCATTAGCAATGCATGCGTATCGAATGCTCAAATGGATCCTTGAAAGGTTTTAACGTTCTTCCAACGAAATTTTTGCTTAATTTAGTAATACGTTAAAAAATCTCATCATATCAATATGTTCATTATCTATATTGATTATTTCTCGCATTTCAGATGAGACGCATGATGGACCTTTTTTAAGTATTTTAAAGCATTTTTGTGAATAAATAAATTCAACTTTTCACTTCTCTCTTTTTTGTTACTCAACACCTGATTAAATATGTTTCCTCTTACCATTATTATATTTTAAAAAAATCATAAAATCATAAAATAATTAAACAATTTATAAATTTTTTTCGTTTTGGCAAAGCTAATGCAATTTTACTAGTCTTGTACAGAATAAATATATTTCGTCTGGTTTTTATCAAATATGCCCATTGGTATAAATAAATAAATTCTTCAATGACCCCATTCTAAAAGCTTTTATCTTTTCGATTTTATAATCAAAAATTTTAGGAAAATATTTTCACCAATTTCATCCTTTAAGTTTGCATTTTTTTGAATTAAAATGGAACGGATTCAGAAATGAACATTAAATTAATTGGACAAGCACAACTTTTTATATAATCAAAAATCGGTACAAAATCGATGTATATTGTATTTAAACAACCTTGACGTGTTCTATGTTTAGGTTTTGTGTTATTTTGATATGTAGGATGATCATTTATTAATATAATAATTTATACCATGGACCCGGAGTGAACCGTAACAAACCGTTAAACCATTATAAACCTTTTTAAATATCAGCGTAACCGAACCGATATAATAATTTTTTGAAGGAGTAAAAAGAACCTTTATAAAAAAAGGTTAAATCGGTTTAAACCGGTTCAGTTTTAATATTTTAGGAATCAAAAAAATTTGAATATCCAGAATTATATAAAGTTGCTCTTATAGTACTGGCGGTTCCCGCAACACAAGCTTCTGTAGAAAGGGCCTTTTCGGGGCTAAAATTTATGATATCGTCACAACCAAATATGAATCCATTTATATTAGAAATATATTACTTATAATATATTTAAAATGAGTTATTTTGAATCATATATATTTTTTTATATATAATTCATAGATCTTATGATAAAAATAAATTAGACGATGGTGTTGCTTCAATAAAAAAAAAATTTCTAACCGTAATTTATGAATCTTTATAATTAGCTGAACCGAACCTTTGTAAAATTTTTCTTAAAAACCGTAACCAAAACGTAACCATTATAATTTTTTACATATTGAACCGTAACCAAAATGAACCGTTATAAATAACGGTTCGGGTCCATGATTTATACACAGTAATAATAAATGATTATTAATAGATTATATCCATTTTTTTCTTTTAGATGTATATTATTTTATAGATAATAATTTTATCATTTTATTTATATATTTTGGGGACAGATATTATTTTTTGATCATCCATGCCTAGTCTTTCTTTTATTTAAAAGTTATTTATATTTGATGTCAAGTCATTATTTGTCAAAATTAATATATCTTATTTTTATGGTTATAGAAGATTATCAATAAATTTTTATTTATTTTCGAAATGTACTAATATAAAGGTGTAAAAAGTAGAAATTATATTATTTTTGTTCAATTATTTTTTTTGGAATCCTTTGTGAATTATAAATTGGTATATAATAAATCAATTAATATTTCGTCTCGAACGCGTGGTAAGATAAATTAATATTAATAAATTGATATATTAAAAAGGAAGTTTACCATTTAATCCCCTATTATATAATCATAAATTTTTTTATTTTTAAGTTAAAGTCCAAAATTCAATGTCTGAGCATAAAGATCTGATTTTGTCATATAAATCGTCTGGTAAATTGCTCAGGAGTAAATTGATTTTAACCAAATCGGACGATACTGTGTTAGAGAAAAATAGGATCAGTCTGTAAATGTATATGTCCGTGATGTTCTCTTGTAATTTAGGAAACTTTTACTGAAAGTCATTAATTGATATGGATTAACAAATTTAATTAATGTTTGTTAAATTTTGTAATAAAACACATTAATTTATAATTTAACAAAAATACAAATCAATGGATAAAATCATCATTATTCAAAATGTAAAATTTGCCATTCAGCAATTTATAATATTATAGCATGTTTATAAGTTTTTCAAAGGGAAAGAATATATCGCTAGAGTTCGGTATCCTAGAATATTCTAGATCTTCAACCCCAATGGTCTGATAAAGTAAGTCACAAATGTAAATAGTACTGGGGATATTAATTATTTTAATAGAAAACATTCTTCCAAAAAATATTTTAATAAAAAAATTTTTTTTTTTGTTTTTTACTTTTTTATATCAAATTTTTTATGTTATGCAAAAATAATTGAGAGACATATGAGCTTTTTTCTGGTTTTTACTCGGTACACCATGTAAAATAGTGTACCAGGTGTAAAACTACAGGTGAGTTTATTATTAAATAACTAAATATAAGTCTAAAAGTGTTTTGGATCCATATATATCATGTACAATTTGAATGAATAAGTTAACACAAAGGTTAAATAAAATATATAAATAAGTTTAACAAAAAAATAAAAATAAGCTATACAAGGTAATAAAATATAAAATGAGTTTCTTACAAAAATAAGAATTCAAAATTAAATTTTCATTTTCATTTTAAGATTATTCAACACTTCTGACAAGTGTGAGGATAATAAAGATGTAAATGCTGTAATTGTAGATAATGTATCTTCTGGGTATGTGAATGATTTATCTGCTGTAATGGTGAATGGTGAATAATATAACATAGATGGGTGTGGCAATGATTGAACTGATGCAATAATAAATGAAAATGTTGCAGACAATGTAGTTGTTTCAGGTAGATGTGAATGTGAGGCAATTGTTGATATTCTTAAAAAATTAATTTTTTTAGATGAATTAATAGGAGTATTAAAAATACTTGGTATGAAAGATAATTTAAGCTGTTTCGGATCAGCACCAGCTGCTTTGAGACCAGCAGCATTTTTCTCTCTTAATTTTTCAGCTCCACTTTAAATTCCCTTTTGACATTTCTATGCACAATATTTAAAAATATATCAATTTAACTAAAAAAATAATACATTGTAGACTCTACACATGATAAATATAAACAAGATAAGTGTAAATTTAAATTTAATTAATTTTTTTAAAGAATTGTATTTTAATATAATGCAATTCATGTTTGGTCATCCTTTCATATGATGTTGCATAAAACATTTACTAATTAATTTATAACTTAAGGCTAAAAAAAAATATCTCAAAATGTTAACTGGAAATTCAAATAAAATTTATATTTCATAAAAAATTACTTATTTTTATAAAAATCGCCAGTAATAATAACAAAAACATTACTGTCCATGTGTTATGAAATATGAATAAGTAGTTTACTTTTGACTTTTTACATACATCTCAATTCAATTCAATGATAATATAAATAAGTGTAAAAATACTTAAGTTGATTATTATATTTGGTTTGTACAATATATTTAATGAAAATTTTTGTAAATGATATGATAAGTAAATTGTTGTAATCCAAATATTAGGTAAATTTTTACAATCTGAGTTCGTTGAGCTTAGTTAGTAATAAATTAACATAAATAACAATCAATTAATTAATAAAAGAAACATTAGAAAATCAAAGTGATCAGATATTTATTTTGTTAAAATTATTATATCTGGGTTTAATTTAATTTCAATGAATTAAGAATAAGAAATACAATCACAAATGTTGGCTATATTATTTCTACAATAAATCAATGTATAAAAATATAATATAATAAATTAATAAAAACTTAGCTTTCACTCTACTCAAACGGATGCGTTTTCACTACATTTGAAAAAAAAACAAAGAAAAGCACGTGGTAAGCGACGTTATTGATATTTTATTAGGCTGTAAACATTTCTAAAAAATTCGAACGCGTTCTCGTTCACTTTCAAAAAAAAAGAAACGCGTTCACGTTCGTTCAAAATTTTATGATAAATTTTTTTAAAATTAAATTTAATATAAATAAATGTCTTATATTTTCTAACACAATATACTAGCCATAGCCATGTTAAAAAATAATATAGTTTTATTTGAATATATACAATATAATATAGCGAATAAAAAGATATTTTTGTTTATAAAAAATTTTTCTTATTAATTTTTAATAACAATTGTTTTTCAAAATTTTCATTTGATAGACAGAAACGCTTGTTAGTTAATATGGCATTTTAAAAACGTGCTCACAGGGGCAGGTATGGGAATTGCGGTATTATACTTAATAAACAACTCTTTTAACGTCGGGAGTTTGTTAAAAACATTTATTGTTTTGTCCTTTGCTTCAAAAAATTGAGATAAGTTATCCTCCTCCAATCCATCCCCCACTTCGTTGTCAAAAAAAGGATACTTCGAAATTAACAGTTCTTGCATTCTAGGGTTTTCAATGCATTTTTTCAAAAACGCTATAAATTTATTTTTTATAGGTTCGTTCTGTAGAAGTTTTTTCAATGGTCATTGAAGCTTGAATACTGGATGTATAATTGCAGAAAGAACATGATGATCTTCATGTAATATTTTCAAATCTTTAAAAAAATAAAATATATGTAATTAATTTGATAGTGATAGGTTTAATACCTTTTATTAATCCCATTCTGCGTCTATCAATGGTTTACCCTATTTTAAGGTTATTGTTGGGGTCAATTAGCCCAAATGCATTTTTTTTCTTCAAATTAATGATTTTACTTACTTATATTATATTATATAAAATAAAATATTTAATATTACAATCAAATGTCTTTTTAAATTAAATTTGAAGATTTTGAAACTGATATAATAATTTTTGGGCATATTTTACATTCGGTAAATATTGAATTAGTTCCTTCAATATAGGATGTTACCGTAAAATATTTATCATATTTGGGCCATGGTATCAATTCATCTGATTTTGAATTTTCAGTATCAGATGTTGTTTAATAATATATCCATGTTTATGCTAATCTATTAAATTAAAATATAAACAATAATATTCAAATTAATAAACTATAATAATGGCGTGTTAAAAAAATTGAAATGTGAAAAAGGAAAAACAGTTGATATATAAAACTTTTTTATTAAAAAATTTAGATTAATATTAAATTTTTTAAATATATAAAAATAAAAAGTGTTTTTAAAATTGAACGAACGTTAAATTCGAACACGTTCGTCATAAAAAAGGAACGCATTCAGGTTCAAAGTTCGTCAAAAATAAAAGGAACGCGGTTCATCATTTTTTTCAAAGAAACGAACTTCGTTCATGTACGCGTTCGTTTACAACACTATTTTATACATTAAAATATAGTAAAAGACATGATAATTTTCAAAGAATGTGATATTCAAATAATAGAGATAAAAATAAATAAATGATAAGAAAAAATAATGTGAATATAATATTTTTTTTTCTAATTGGCCTGATATTTTTCTCTGATCGGCTTCAAAAATCGACATATTTTCGTGGCCTCGAGGGCTAAATGCTCACTCTATGGCCAGTCCGCCCCTGTTCGATTTCAAGGTTGAGCGAATTTCTTCGGCTCAGGCTTTAAGGTAGAGCTGATTTTTTAGGCTCGCTCCCCAACGAGGCTAAGCCGGCTTGAGTTGAGCGATTTTGCATCACTATAAACTACCATCGTACAAATTTTAAAAATCGCAGAGAGTCGGATTGAATCTTGATTTGATATGGAATGCAACATATATTTTTTAAACTTTGGAAATTTTTTTTTCTGGAGATAAAAAAAGAATGAAAGGAATACATTTTTTTTATAACCTAAGGTAATCGTTTTCACATTTATTTTAATGTTATTTATATTTTAGTATTCATTTTTTTTGTAAGAATACATCGTTATTCTTTTATAAGTCATTATAAAATTATATACCTTGTTTTTTTAAAAAATTTTTTTTATAATAACAATAACAAAGGTAAATAAAAGGGTAAAAAATATTATATTTTTTTATTTATAAAAAAATAGCATATAAAATTATATTAAAAGAATGTAATAAAATCAAGTAAACAATAAAATAAGACAAATATAAAACAAAATTTAAAAAAAACATATAAGGGGGGTGGGGGATATTATTAAATATATAAAATGGTATTTTTTTGATTTTATTTATTTATTTTGAAATATTTTTCTCAGGTAAAAAATAAAATTATGGAAAAATTTTGGCTTAAAAAATAGTATTTTTGGCATTTATTATTTTAATAATTATGTTATGGCCATAATTTTGAATCCAAGAAAAAACCAAATATAAATGATGATTAATAAAATATGGCAAATCGAGATTCTTATAGCTGTATTCATACATTCATTCATCATTCTTGTTGAAGCTCAAGATATCTCTATAAGTAAAAATTGAAGTATTTTATTTTAACATTAAATTTCTTGATACAAAAATACAATTCTATAGCAAGGACATAACACCTTTTAAATTCAATATCAAAATATTATTTTTTTAAAAAAAATAAATTGTTTGATAAAGCAGCGCTAGTAAGACTTAAGTATGATTATTGGGGAAATATTTTCTATTACCTATTATGACATAATCAAGTTATTTTATAATATTATTAATCGATCATAATTCATCAACTATTTAAATAAATCATAAATAGTCACAAAAATTGGAAGGACAAACTTAAAATGGGTATAAATCACGCCACCTCCTCCGGGCATCTTTCAATTTTATCATTATATACTTTGATTTTTACCAAAATTGGGGATCTATATACTCTATTTTACCTAATATATGGGAGGTATGTTTAGATGTTTCTTAATATGAAACACTAGCTCACATTTCTTTCCTGGAATATTGTAAAACTATTGGAATTTTTTTTTACTACCTTTATCGGAGGCATCAGTGTGGGACCATTTGTTTTAGCTTCATCCCACCTATAAACATTGTATGAGAATAAAAACATAATTAATAAATAAATAATTCCACATATATTAAAATACCTTAAAGAATTTATTATAATTCAGAGTTTGAAATTGTAATAATATTATAATAATATATCGATTTATTTAATTCATATAATATATCTTTTTTTCCACTTCTAAAGATACCTTTCAAATTAGGCCTTGAATGCTTGGATATCTTTAGCTTTCCTTTAGCTGTTTTACCCATAGTTTTAGCAAAATCAATCAACTTTATATTTACTTTATTTAAATCAATTATTTTTTTAAAAAATCACATTTTTGTCTCCACACCCTGTATAAAATTAATTAAAATTTCTTATCGCTACATTTAATATATAAAAATACCCGATGAATTTATTTTTAATTACATTATTTATTATATTTTACAAATTGCAATAAAGAATTTAGTAATATTATTATACTCACTTAAACTCATTTTCTAATTAAAACTAGTTTGATATTTGAAGTTGAAGATAAGAAATAAAATAAACTTCCGCTATTTAATGATTCGAAACTTGAAACAAGAATAAAATTTTGTAATAAAAAGAAAACTTGTCTATATTTTTACCATGAATCATGGTTCATAAATATATCATTATATAATTTCGTTATTTTTAAAAGTATAAAAAAATGAAGCTGACCAATAATAATCAAGTTCTACACCTTATCTTGATCATGTGTAATTTTCTTGGTAACGACCAAAGTAAAAAATAATTTAATCTCAATTCTACCATTATAACATATTTTTTTTTAAAGGTTTTATAAATTGAGAAATTAAAATATTTATATTTCAAATAGGTTACATTCTATTTCAAATAGGTTATATTCTAAATAGGTTGTATTCTATTTTAAATTTTAGCAAAAAATTTAAATTAATTTTTTTATTTCTTTCATGTGTATTTTAATACTTTTTTCTACTAAAATTTGAAGCAAATTTTCTATATTTTTATGAATCTTAAACACTGAATGGATAAAAGAAAATTTTATCAACCAAAAACTTAAAACTAATATAATTTAATATAAAAATTATATAACCCAAACCCAGTTACCGCCACAATCTGCACAAGCACAATGATTGCAAATAAAACTAATGAAAAAAATGAAGAATCAAGATGGATAAGAAAGAAATCAGGTCTTCAGGAGATTAGTTATCATTATTTAGACACGATTTGATAAACAGTCATTTATAAGACTTCTTGCGCTACAAGAAGAAGAAAAACTGCAGATATCATGCCCAACACTATAGAGCCTTCGACATCATACTGTTATAGCCTTTTTAGATCTAGAAAAGTCTATTTTAATTGCCCTTGAAATATCAGAATAGCCCGAACCAGATATTTCATATTTACTTAGAAATCCGTCTTAGGATATATTATAACTTGATATTGAGATTAAATATAATTAGCTCAATTTTATTCAAGGATATAAATGAATCTGAAGACCATATCTGATGTGTTGACCAACTAATTTTAGAATTATCTTGGTATGAAAGTTTGATTAGTTGATAATCCTCCAAGAAACGCCGAAGCATTGCATACTTTAAACTATATTTTGTAATTCTTTTGGCAACAATAACAATTATTACAAATTTCTTCATTACGGAGAATAAAAATCGATATCAGACCCGGCATCATAAAATCGATTGAAAGCTTTACTTTATATACATAAAAATAGAAATTTAATCCTTATTTAAAAAAAAAGTTGGTCAAAAATTGGCACAATCGCAAAGAAGATTAAATTTCTGTTTATGAATTATATTTAACTTGTTAAATCATCATATGATTGATTAATTTTATTGTGATTTCATACAGGATTAGAGAGTTATAATATTTTTTAACGTAGCTCATAATTATTTTGTATTTTACAATATTTTACTATTTGTGTTAGCAATTGTCATTTTTAAAATATGATTGGTTGTAATAAATTTTATATGATGATTTTAATAAATTTTTAATGCTCCAAAAAAAACCATTTCAATATTTAAAAAATTATCCCCCCCCCCCCTCCTCTGAAAATTCTTGGCTACTACGCGCATTATATAATTACCTTAATATGCCTTTTATATCAAAATCTTCCTATATTGGTTTAAATCTCCTTCTCTTCTTAGCTAGATATATTCGCCCGTCACTATTGACTGTTATTTTTTTAACTTTGAATAGTTTATTGTGCACGTGTTTTTAAATATTAGATGAATTTAATAGAAATCTATCAGTATTCGAGAATACCCACCCAATTAATATTGACAATTTTGCTATGAACTTTTGAGTAACTTAAAATTTTTATTCATTTTTCCGCCCATTTTTTATATAAATTACAAACGAAGTTTAAGGCAAAATTATTCGGTTCATATTTCGTGGGTAAATAAAAAGCAGGCCTGAAATTCGGCCAGATCCACGTGTGATTGAAAGTTTAAAAATAAATTACAAACACAGGGTGATCCGGATGTTAAAATAATTTTACAAAATCAAGTCCAAATAATTCTTTTGAAAATATAAATGGAAATGGATCTTTAAATTTAGCAGCTTATATTTTCAATTTTTGAAAAATGATTAACAAAATACAGCCATTTATTTAAAAAACTAAATTTTAAAATTCCTGGCTGTAAAAATAACTGGATAAGGGTAAAGTAAATTTTTTATTTAGGAAAATTCCGAACTAACCTAGGTCTAAAAAGGGGTCATATTGGATTTCCCGCTAAACAGATTTATCAAAAATAATATATTTCCGAATAATATACATTGGCGCTAACATACACATTATTATAAATTTAGATAAATCTCTAAATAGAACTGACCTAAGCTATTACATTTTTTATACTCATTTAAAATACTTTGTTTTTCGAAGATATCTTCTCGTCCAATGACAATTTTTCCTTTTTTCTTATTTTGTATATATGTCATCAAAAAAAAAAATTAAAATTTACCTTCTGAAGTTCGAATGTGCGTTAAAATGGGGATGACAGCTAAAAAATGCGAGGATATGAGTAGAGCCTTCAATTCTCAAGGGTGGCCAGAACAATTGGAATGTGTCATAACCAAAAACGATTATGAATGCATGCGAAAGATTGAAAATTCAGGGGCTGACATAGTTAATTTAGATTCAGGGTTAGTGTACATAGCAGGAGTTCATTATAGTATGGTTCCTTTATTGGCCGAAAGCTATGGGCCAGGTTATTATTTATTTTATTAGAACTCAATTTTTAATTTATATTTTATAATTTGTTTTGATTTACATTTTAAAATAATATTATATTTTACCTTAAAAAAACCTATTAATGATTGCTGTGAATTTAACCATCCTTATATTTGATTTCAATATTCATTTTTTACAAGAATCAAATTCCCAGCCTTCTTACAAAACTATCGCCTTGGTTAAGACCAATTCTCATATAAATTCCTTGGCAGATCTAAAAGGAACCAAATCTTGTCATACAGCTGTTGGAATGAGCGCAGGGTGGATTATTCCTATAGGTTATTAAAAATAAATTTTTGTAATTTTGAGATAAAAATATTTCGACTATTTACACATAAAATCTATTAATTATTTACCAATTTAATAACATTATGTAATATGTTAAAATACAAATTATTAATTTCAAAAAAGGAGTATTATATGAAAAAAATTTACTACCATCCTTCGATTGTGACAACCCGGTAATAGCTATATCAAAATTTTTCAATGGGAGTTGTGCTCCTAACGCCCTAATTAAAGACAACAACTTAGGTATCAATATATATCTGTTTTGTTTATTATTATTTTTTCTTCTTTCTTTTATTAGTAAGCTTATAATTTTTTTTTCCATTGAATAATATCAAGGTTTCAACCCCTCTAGCGTTTGCAGCGCATGCTCCAATATACATATGCAATGCATGGGTTACGATAGATTTGCCGGAGAACAAGGAGCTTTTGAATGCCTAAAAGCGAATAAAGGAGATGTCGCGTTTTTAAGAGAGTCTACACCGATCATTTTGCTCAAGGAGTACGAAAATATAGGTTTAAAAATTTTCAATAATTTTCTTGCTTCCTTTTTTTGTAATCAAAGACAGCGCAATATATCTTTGGCAGTGATTACTTTAGTATCTCTCAGTTAGATGTGCCCTATTGGAGGAGGGGTTGGTTTGTTCTATCGGATTTTTTGGCTATTGGCAAAAATATCATATCAAATATTTTATTAAAACTTATAGGTTATAAATAGCGCCGTTCTATGAGGGGGGGGGCGGTATCTCGGCATATTTTTAGAATTTTACTGAAGATAAACTCAGTATAATTTCAAAATCTTATGTAATTTTATATTTATTTTGTATAAAAATAATTTTATTTAAATATCCGGACATAATGATGATCTCCTTGAATTATATGTCAACCCAGCGGCAGATCTTTCACTCTGTGCTAGTTGTTGCTGGAACACAAAGAATTTTTTTTAACTAACGTGGAAAGATTAGGAAGTTCGATCTTCTTTTCTCTCCAGAAATGTAGAACATCCATATCTTGTGAATGTCGGTTTCAGAGAAGATGACATTCTTGTTCTAAATCACTGGATTTATAATGTGTACTTGAATGATTGTTGCTAAGTTTGTCAAATAATTTGAATATAATATTTCCTCTTGATCTTCAATCGTTATATTTACTAGACTACCTTAATATTATCATACTCCTTACGTTTAAAAGTATTTTATAATAAATTCCACGCTTAATAATTTTGTTCAATTATATGAATCACAATTTATAATTTTTAAAATCTTGGGTCTAGAAGAGAAGCCTACATAGATTATTTTTGAAGTAAAAATAAATTAAATAAATGTTACTTGCAGATCACAAATATGAAATCGTACCGCAAGTTTTTTTTAGTATATTTTCCTATATTGAGGTAATTTCTTAGCTATCATTATGATTGTTTTCACTTCTAAAAAGTTATAACTGTTTTCATAAATATCATTTTAAGCTAATAAACCCCCCCCCCCCTTTGTTAAAATTTTCAATATCAATCAAAGTTTATCTTTGCTGCTAGTTGCATTAAGAAATTATTTTCCTAATCACTACTTTGTAGAAATTTACAAAAACCAAATTTAGATTAGGTTCAGGTTATGGCGGAAAATGTACTTGAACAGGTAAATACAATAAGAATGAATGTAGATCAATATTTTCATAATATTTATCTAGACGTTGAATCGAAAACTAAATCTTATGATATAACACTAATAAACCTAGTCTAGAACCCAATTATTGAGTTGTAATATAAATGTTGATTCAAATGAAGAATATAATAAAATATCCATTTTCATCCCATTCTTAGATACTTATTTATCGCAAATAAAAGTATAGTTTTTAGATAAAAAACAAGTCTTTAGCATTCTTCAAATTTTATTACCTAAAGACCCTTCTTCGTTTTCTGATACCACTATTGGTAAATTGATACTGAAATCAATTTAATCAATGAATTCGAATTATTGTTTAAATATTAACTACGTTTGGTTATTTTACCTGAGCATGATATTGATGCGCTCAATAGGTGTAAGGAAACCTTGGCTCAATTTCGAAATATTTTGAAGTTGTTTTATATTCTTGCAGTGGCGTATCCAGGATTTTTTTAAGGGGGTGTTTTTTGGGGGGGTTTCGCCCCCAAACCTTTCTTACCTGGCCTTCTGCCAGCTTTTCCCCGGCCTTTGGCCGAGTCTTATGTTTTATCTATTCTATTAAATTATTCATAATTTAATAATAATTATATTTCTATTTTTAACTATTATTTACTAATTCGTGCTTATGGATATTACAAGCCTATTTTTTATTATTTAAAGTTACGTATATTATATTTAATAAAGTTTTTTTAAATGCAAAGTTAATGTCATTTTTATTAAAATTTGCTTTAAAAACTAGCCTCAGCTTAAATTCTCATATTTGAAAATACTAATAGTAGTGTATATAAAATATTGACTAGAAAATAATTTAAAAAACAAGTTTTTTTTAACTTCTTATCAAATATATTATACAAATTTTTTTATTTAATTGCTTATGTGCTAGACGAGGTTTAATTAGTGTTATATAATAAAATTTAGTCTTCGATTCAACGTCTAGATAAATATTTTGGAAATATTCATTTACATTCATTCTTATTCTATCTACCTTTTCATATATATTTTCCGCCAAATCAATAACCTGAACCAAATCTAAATCTGGTTTTTGTAAATTTCTATAAAGTAGTGAGCTATAGGAAAATAATTTATTGATGCAACTAGCAGCAATGATAAACTCTGATTGATCAATTGAATTCAATAATGGTATCGCTTCTGATGAAGCATTACTTTTTTTCATGCTCAGCCTTATTTAACCTTTGTATTTCTATTTCTTGTTCTACATAATGGAAGTAAAAATGAAAAATATTTAAAAAATTATAGATATTTATTAATTATTAAAATATTATTAATAATACTTATTAATTCATAAAATAATTATTTATAATAATATAATAAATTACCGTTTGATTTCAATCTCTTTGACTAAAAATTTTTCCATTTTATTAATATTTTTTAACAATGTTAATGTAATCACAAGGAAAGGAAATTTTAATAAAATTTATTTATAAAAAATAAGTTTTATGTTGGAAAATTGATATTCAAATATTTGTAAAATTTTGATTGGGGAGGGGGGGGGGGGTGGGGGGTAAAATTTTTGTTAGCTTTAAATGATATTTATGAAAACTGTCAAATTTGCGAAGGGGGGGAATATCCCCCTTTCCCTCCCATTGGTTACTCGCCTGTATTCTTGCATGTTTGCCTATTACAACATATGACTTTTATCAACTTGAGAAGGTTGAAAACTTATTTAAGAAATACTACTTCCGAATCTCGGCTAAATGGGTTAGCTCTGTTAAATATACCCGGAGATTTGGTTCCAACGATAAAATTACTGATGAATTGGAAGAATTTCCCATGAAAATTAAAAATCACATTATAATTATACTATTTAATAAATTTTTTGTATAATATTGTATTTTATAAGAAGTTATAAAAATTTGTTTTTTAAATTATTTTCTAGTCAATATTTTATACACACTACAATTAGTATTTTCAAAAAAAAATTATTCTATTTATTGTATGAGAATTTAAGATAAGGCTAGTTTTTAAAGCAAATTAAAATGACACTAAACTTTATTTCAATATTGCACTTAAATTTTTTTATTAAATATAATATACCTAACTTAAAATAATAAAAAAAATTGGGATAATTTAATTCAATAGGTCAAACATATGACCCGGCCGAAGGCCGAGAGAAGACTGGCCGAATGCCAGCTAAGAACGCTCCCCAAAAATATTTCACCCCTTATAGAAAAATCCTAGATACACCACTGTCAAGTAGCATTCCAATATTAAATTTTATAAAATATAAAGTTATTTTCTCTGGGTGTTATTATTCGACAATGGATAATGATAAACCATGAATTTATTAACCCAAAAAATATGACAAATTTTTATATTAAAATAATTTAAAAGATTTGTTGCTTCTTAATTAGCTATATATTATTTTTAGAAATAGGATTTCAACCGCAAGATTATTCGCTTTTATGCTTAAACGGTGAAAAAAGACCCGTGAACGATTTTGAAAATTGTCATTGGGGTTTCGTCCCCGGGAATGCTATTATGACTCTATCTTCCCAGAGCGAGGAAAACAAAACTATATTCAAAAATTACTTCCTACGAGCCCAAGAGGTAAATTTAAAATATGTTTGATATAATGTTCATCTCAATTTATGATGATTTTATAGAAAATTTATTTTGCGAATTAAAAATAAAGCCATTTCAAACTTTTTTCAATTTCTATCTACATCACAATGATAATCATAAATGATATTTTTTTCTCGGTTTTTCCTCAGATATATAAAAGTAGGGCGAACCAATTTTAAACTATATACAAAATAAGTGATCAGATAAAAATATGGCTTATTATTTTAATTTATTTAAAAAATGTAAATTTTCAGATTATTGTGATTGACATATCATTAATGTCATTAATAATTTAAAAGTAATAGGCTGTGTCTAAGGTCGGCTTAAAACCCAATAGCCAGAAAAGTAAGAAGAAATTAAAATTAAGTAATAAGAAATTAAGACTTTAAGCATGCCACTCATTTAGTATTCTAATACGCGTTTGTGCATATCAGTTTAAATTATATTTATATGAGCAAACATGCAAATATACCGTAGAGTAATAGTCAGTCTTTTTTGATTCATATAGAATATAATTAAAGATTGAAATATTTATCCTATGGTGCGTAGCCAGACTGGTGGTGAGATAATTTTTTTAAATATTGAAATATATTTTTTTGGAGCAATAATAATTTATTAGAACCAATCATTATATAAAATATTTTTAGAATCAATCATCATATAAAATTTATTAGAACCAATCATATTTGAAAATATGATAATTCGAACATAAATAAAAAAATATTAGAAAATACAAAATATTACAGGGTTTCCCATTTAAAGAAGGAAAAGGCCCAATAAAAAAAGGAAATGTTTTAATCATAAAAGGAAAAGGTCGATCAAAAAATAAAAAGGGTCAATTAAAAGGAAAAGGTCCAATCAAAAAAAGAATGTGTCAATCAAAAAAGGAAAAGTTTTAAAGGTTTAAGAAAAAATCCGATCAAAAAAGGAAAAGTATGAAACTAAAAAGGAAAGGGTTCTATCAAAAAAGGAAAAATGTCAAACTAAATAGGGAAGGGTTCAATCAAAAAAGGAAAAGTGTTAAACAAAAAAGGAAAAGTGTCAATCAAAAAAGGAAAATTCCCAAAAGGAAAGAAAAAGTGTCAATCAAAAAAGAAAATTCCAAGGATCCAAAGCGAATCTCAACCGAACCATTAAACTACTAAAAACCGGTATTTTTTATCAAACCTAAACCGAATCTAAACCGCTAAAATGCCCCTTATAGGTTCGAGTCTCATAATTTTATGCTTTAAAATAATTTGTAAGTTATTACTAGTATATTGCAAAAATTTTAATTATATTCGAATTGTTTTAAAGATTTTCGTTTGATAAGTGCCAGTCATCATTTTTATAAACTTACTTTAGTATATTGCCATTTTACAACATTTTTTAAATATTTTAAGCTTATAAATTATAATGCCTAGAGATATATTAAATCCAATGTATACAGTGGCGTAGACAAGGGGGGGGGGGTTTGGGGTCGAAACCCCCCCCATGGAAAATAAAAAAAATGTTTTTTTTTTTTATAAAATAAAAAATTATTATTTTTTTATTGCGAATAATTATATTTAAAAAACGGTTTCAATTTAGAGAAATAAGATAATATATTATATATAATACTATATGAATATGAATACCCCACCCAAGAAGAGGGAGATTTTTACCCAAACGTTCGATGAAATTGATTCAAAAAATTCAAAAAAAAAATTCAAAAGATTTTGTCCCACAAGATTCATTGAAAGACAACAATCGGTGAAGGTTTTCATCGAGTTATATGAGGTTATTTTTGCGGCACTGGAATCATACATATTACGCAAAGAAAAAGATTCCGCAAATGCGGAAAATCTTTTACAAGCTATTACGAAGCCTCAATTTTTAATTTCAATTCAATGTGTTTATTTTTTATTTAATTATACATATGATTTTAGCAAAATGTTACAAAAAATTGATTTGGATTTAAGGGAGGTTATATATAAGGCAAAGGATATTGTTGAAATATTAACAAATATCAGAGATAATGTGGATGAAAAATTTCAAGAAATATATGAGAAAGTAAAGGAGATCGCTAATATGTTTGGGATTGAAATTTTTAAACCTAGAGTAGTTTCTAGACAATCCAATCGCTCAAATATTGATGCATCTACGATTGAGGATTTTTATAAAATTAACATTTTTATTCCACTTATTGATACATTTTTATTTCAATTAAAGGAAAGATTTATAAGTCACAATTTTATTTTAAAAAGCTTTTATTTTCTTTTGCCGGTTGAGTCTGAATTGTTGATTACACTTGAAACGCGAGAGGATATTAAGAACATCTCAGAGTTTTATTCTGATGATTTATTAGGGTCGTATGATAAGTTACTTTGTGATGTCGAATTTTAGTATAAAAATCTTGGCAGAATAGAGTACTCTTTGAGACCAAAAAATGCTTTGCAGGCCCTTTCCATGTGTAATTGCACTTTAGATTCCCTGCCCAATATCAAAACATTGTTTTTTATTTTAGCTAATTTACCGATTAGTACCTGTACTAATGAAAGGTCTTTTTCAACTTTGAAAAGGGTAAAAACCTATTTAAGAAATAGCACCGGTGAAAACCGTTTAAATGGATTAGCCCTATTAAATATTTATAAGGAGATTATTCTAGATAAAAATTTGATTCTAGATGAATTAGCCAAATCTCAGAGAAAAGTAGACCTCTCTTTATAAATTCAAATCATATAATTGTAATATTTTCTTAGTCATAAAATTTTTATATGTAAAACTTAATTATAATGAATTTTTAGTCATGATATTTTTATACTATATTAATAATAGTATTGCACCTACAATAAGAATTATTTATATAATATACTCATTTGTATTAAATATAACTGTTAAATTATATTTTTTTAAATTATTGTAATTTTATTTTTTTAAAATATAGATATTTACAATCAATTTTTAAAATAGTAATCTGTATAAAATTTCTAATTTTGAAATTTATTTTTTGTATATAAAATAAACACATAGTTAAATAAAGGGTTTATACTAAATAAAATTGTTAAATTGTATTTTTTTAGCAAGAATTACATATTTTATTTTTTTAAAATATAGTTTATTTACATTCAATTTTTAATATAATAATCTGTATAAAATTTATATATTTTGAAATTTATTTTTTTATATATTATTAAAATAAAAACATAGTTAAATAAATAAAGTTAATAATAAATAAAATCTCTGCAAAATATTGTTATATGCAAAAATTTAATTAAAATAATTATTTTTAACATAGAATAAGATATATTGAGTTGATCATAAAATTGGAAGGTTTGGGGGGAGGCAAATTTTTTTTACATCGAATAGATTGAATTAATATACAATTTACTAAACATTGATAACATTTTCAAAATAATGCTTTCAGTCGCTTATTAATTATAAATTTGGCAAAAATTTTAATTCTAAAAAGGGGTTTGGGGGCGAAGCCCCCAAAAAATTTTTCAAACCCCCCCCCCCCCCCCCCCCCATGGATCAATCCTGGCTACGCCACTGAATGTATAAATTATTTACATATAGTATAATAAATGACACATCAAATCTAATATCATACTGGCAGTGCCGGCTACCCAAGTTAGTGTGGAAAGATGTTTTTCAACAAATAAATTTATACTATCTCCTTATATATGTAATTTGAGTGAGACGAATCTTGAAAATATATTAATTGTGCGGCTTAATAAAAAAATTTTAAGCAATTGTTCATATTAAAATTAAATTAATCAATTGATATTTATTTGTTATATTTATAAATTAAATACTATTTTATAATGTGCAATTAATAAAAATGTAAGTTTTTTTTATTTTAATTAAATGAAATAAATAAAAATATTCTTCCCTATACATAATTTGAATGTAGGTTTGAATACAAAAGTGTTCAAACCGGTTATTAGAGGTTCGAACCGAACCGATATTTTTATTTTTTATGAACCGAACCTGAAACTTGAACAGTTATTTTTATCCGAACTGACCGATATTTGTTTCGATTTGGATCCCTGGAAAATTCCCATTCAAAAAAGAATAATCGTTGTTTTTAAAATTTTTATTATTCTTACTATATCTTTTCTCAATTTATTTTTCTTCTCATTTTTGATAATTCTTTTGTCTTTTTAAAAATAATTTATAAATTTATCCTGTTATTTTTTACTGCTTCTACTCGATTTTATCAAAAAACTAAAAGTTTCAATCAAGAAAGGAATCAATCATAAGAAAATGTCAATCAAAAAAGGAAAAGTGTCAATCAAAAAAGGAAAATTGTTATTTTTAAAAATTTTTTTCTTGTCAATTTTTCTTATTTTTCTTATTCCTTCTTATTTTATTTTTAACTTTTTGCGATTTCTTTTCTTTATTTTTCTTACTATCTTTTCTCAATTTATTTTTCTTCTCATTTTTGATAATTCTTTTGTCATTTTAAAAATAATTTAAATATTTTCCGTTATTTTTTTTCCCTTCTCTGCTCCATTTTTTTAAACAACTCGGTACTTTTTTTTCATCATACTTACTATTACAAATTACCTTAAATATAACAAAAATGCCCTTTACTCTCAATTATATAACTTAACAACCCAAAATAATTCTTTCTAATAATATTAAATAAATACCATTGACCATTAACGACGATCCATATTTAACATAATTATCTTTATTTCCAATAAAACCACAACAATCTAACATAAAATATGTAGAAAAATATAATATAATATAATTATCCAATTCTTCATTTCTCAAAGGTCCACAGCTGACATCCAAAGGTCCACAGCTGACATCTAATCCAATATCTCCCAATCTCCAACTACGAGTTTTTCCGAACAATGAAAACACCCCGTGATCCTTATCTCCCCTTCTTCCCCCAAGGAAAACTTAATTTCCCTGTCAGAAAATAACTGACATTTGATGTATTATATTAAATTTATTTCTTCTTTTTTTCAACAGCTACAACACGCCTACCCTTCACAAGCCCAGCGTCCCTC